TGAACAGTGGTTGATCATAAGGGAATCCAATGCCTTAAATACCACGCCACTTGCTGGCCCTTGTCCTGTTTATTACAACACCCCTATGAAATAGTGTTATCTTCATTTTACAGATGAGAAAATTGAAGTTAAAAAAAATTTAAATGACTGATCAATGGCTCATACGTATCAAAATCAGGATATAAACCCAAATCTGTTTGAATCCATTGTGTGTGCTCTTTCTACTGAGCCATGCTGCCTCTGCAGATCATTGATTTTGCAATGGCCAGGATGAAGTTTTACTGATTCTGAATTCTCTAGGCTATAGACTAAAGAAATTGCAAATGTTCTTGGAATTTAGAGGTCAAATTCAAGCATATCTATATAAAAGTGTGTGTGTATGCATATGTGTGCATGTATTCACATATGTATGTGTGTTTAAGCTACATTACTACTTAAATACTTTGTTGTTAAAAAAACACTTTTTTAAATCTCTCTCTATGTACCTCAGAGGACAATCTATTGGCACACCAAGACAAAACAGAATTGATGAGTTGGAAAAAAAGAGTGAAAATAATGAATGGGTCAGTTTTGTTTTCTCATATTATTGCTATAGTGCAAATAATTTCTCTATAACTAGAGGCCTGAGACATTGCACAATATCCTACTTATTTGTGTGAAGTTTGAAAATGTGGAAAAATTAAGAATGTATTCTGATGTATGAATATTTGAGTTCATAAAACAATTCAAAGCAAGAAATGGCATCTCATTCACTGCTGACAGGATAGCAAAATAATGAAACTGTCAGCAATTTACAAATAAGTATAAACAGTGTTAAGGGCCAGCCTATGGTTTTGTGATTAAGAAACTAGATATCACATGGCTGACTATATGGTTCTGCTCTTGGACAGTGCATCTTAAAAGACACCTGGTGCATGTGTAGGCATTCCCAAAATCCCAAAAGGACGGAGAGATGGAGAAGGGATCAAGGTGTTACCATTTTTCATGGAAGGTATTTTCTCCCTTTCTATCTCTGTCTCCCTGTCTCTTTCTGGTGAATACATATGCCCTCCAGCAAACTTAAAAAAAAAAAAAAAGGAGTCTTTAAAATGTTCTTATTTTTTGCCCTTCAATTCCGTGATAGGAATTCATCCTAAGGAACCAAAATGAAATTTGATTAACACTCACCAAATAAAGTTGTTCACTACAATGTTATTTGTAACAACATATAATGAATCATAATCTTTATGCCTAACAGTAAGGAAAAGCCCAGCAATAAATAGCTATTGTACAGCCATGTTTATGAAGTTTTTCAGGACAGAAAATTACTTGTGATAATGTTATGTTCTGTAGACCCAAGATAAAAATTTTAAAGTAAAAATTTAATTATGCCCCAAAAACTAAACTACAAAATAAATAAGATTAGAAAGAAATATTCCAAATAACCAATAGTATTTGCTTCTAGTTCATAAGATTATGAGTGTATATGTGTGTGCTCGTGTGGCATTTTTCTTTGCTACTACTACTAATTATCTCTATTTTCCATATTTGCTACAATGAAGATTGACTAATTTTATAATCAGAAATGGGAAAGTCAAACTCAAAGAGATAGAAATTGTAAAAGAAGGAAAACATAGTTGAAATAATCCAGGCATACCATTTTATTTCTTCTTATTGGCTGAAGTTTTATCATGAGTATTTAAACAGGAAGATTTTCTTTTACATCGCACAAGTACTCTGCTGCATCAATAATATATTTCCACATAAGAATATTTAATATCAGTTTTTCAGAGAGAAAATTACTTTTCCATAAGGGCATCAAGACATTTCATTTTCACTGACTTGCAAATGCACTATTTAGCAACTACTTTGGGGGGTTAATATATCAGTCCTGGGATAGAGTACCATATGTTCCAAGCTTTTAATTCCTGCAAACATAAAGGAAAATAACCCAAAAGTTAAACCTGCTTATACTGTACATTTGATGCCGCAACCTTTAACATTAATCTAATGGAGTCAGCCTGTGATCACTTTTTTTTTTTTTTTTTTTTTTTTTGAGAGATTTTCACTGTAGGGCGCGTGCACTCGCCAGACAGACAACATAAAGGAAAATAACCCAAAAGTTAAACCTGCTTATACTGTACATTTGATGCCGCAACCTTTAACATTAATCTAATGGAGTCAGCCTGGGATCACTTTTTTTTTTTTTTTTTGCTTGCTAGTACCAAACCCTAAATAAGGTTCTTGACTAGATTATATTCATGCTGGGCTCATTTTAACGGAAATTGGAGAGATGGAAAAAGATTACGGGAAGAGATGTTATAAAAACGGACCTCATGAGTCAAACTTAATACTAAAACCATTCTCTTTCTTGTAGACAACCATGAAAACAAATATCCTGTGAGCTAGAGATATATATTGTATCTTTCCAGCAGATCTTTATGCCTTCTTGAGACAGATTTCCATAACTATGTAATGTGATTACAGTTAATGAGCCGATGGCACAGAGAAAGAGACTGATAAAGCATCGGGCTCCAAGAGACCAGATAAACATGTTCATAGATTCTAATTGTAGCAAGGGTAGGATAGCACTGGATATGAAAACAGAACACAGAGAGACAGAGCACACACTGGTTCCTTTAACTTTAAAAATAACCATCCATAAAACAGACCCAACTTCCTTATCAGAATAATCCCTGGAAACACATTCATGTTACTTGCTTATTTAATTGATAACACATTACAAAAGGGAGTGTACAGTTTTAACACATAATATGAAAGTTACAATAGTCTGGCAGAGATACTTTAAACAACAAAAAGCACATCCCCATAAACAAACTATAAATGCGAAGAACATTTCAAAGAAACTTTGAAATCTATGAACAGCTTCTCCAAAGACTATCTCAAGCTGTACAACTAAAGGAACACATTTTCCCTAAATCTCTAATCATCTCACCCATCATCCCTCTTCCTGACCTGCATAAGTTATATAAAGATAATCTTTATAGACTAAAGTAACAGAAAAATTTGCCCAAAAATGTAATATAACTCAAAGTTTTTAAAAAGTATAATTTTAGAGCTCCTGATAAGTCTTTATTTAGCAAAGGATATAATAAGGATGAAAGATTCTGTAAATGGCCCCATTTCGTAGGAATTAGCAAGTTACTGAATGCAACACATAAGATCAAGAATGTTTGTATGCTATGCAAAAAGAATAAAAGAGTAAGCCCATTCATGAATTTAGAAACTCTGGAATAATTTATTGCTTTTAAGAAAATGTTTCCCTTCCTTTGTATGAATTGACTTCTTCAGTACTATTATTTGTTTCTCAGATGTGTGTGTGTGTGTGTGTGTGTGTGTGTGGCACCCATTAAGTTACTTCATGAGACAGGAATACAAACAGACAAATATGAAGATACATGTTTACCTCATAGCAGTAGAGAGATGTTCATAGGGGGCCCAAATTAAAAGTGCCAAGACTCTGTACAGTACATGTGGCTAAAGCCTCATACTGTGAGTTTTACATAACTCAGTAACACAGACTCTGGAAAACACACTTTGAAGATTATTGATTGTCTTGGTGAAACAAGGACAGTCCTAGGGTCAGATGAACCCCAGTAGGTAAAGTGTGAGTTTTCCTAAAGTTAGGAAAAGGAGTATAATTAATGTTACTGTGAAATATGAATGAAGAACTATGTCATAGGAGAGTAAAACCAAGAAGCAAAGCTAGGAACTCAAGTTTGTCTTTCAGGGTTTCTCTGTGTGAGGTTTAACTCTTTTTTTTTTTTTATCTTCTCTCTGTCCTAAAATTCTTCAATGAATCGTATATAGCAAAAATGTTCATGTCTCCCCCCTATATCTTATTTCTTTGAGTTAGCCTTTTAATCAGTAAACGTTACATACACTCACTCTTGTGTCAGTGGCGCTGTGGAGAAGACAATTGGTAATAAAGTGAAGTGACTGTTCCTGCATGCTGCTTTTGCTAAAGCCAGCAAGCCAGAACATTTGTCAAGGAAGATTCAGAATTCCTAAATTGGAGACACTGATTACTGCCTAACACATCCCTCAAGTTGTAGCTGAGCGAAACAGAGAAAGTAAAAAGGTGAAAGAGCAAACAAGATGGATTAGCTCAGAAGAGGATATTAAACAAACTCCTTTCTGGCAAATATACTGGAAAAAGACAACCTGAAGGAAGAAAGTAGTCATTGGGTCACAGAGCTATGCTTTCATGTACTTAAAAGAATCATAATACATTATGTGTGCAAAGTTTGTGTGGATTCTTTCATGATCAGTTGTCTCAATATAAGAAAATAATAACTGATTTCTTAAGTTATATTTTTATAAATGTTTACTCAAAGCATATGTACTTGGCTCTATATTATCATCAAAACTTTCTCATGAAAACTAGAATTTGAAAGGCCTGCACACTATCAGAAATATGTAGCTGCAGAAATCATAGTTAAAGGCAGATCCATACATTTAGAATAAAATGAAAGTATACAGAAACACAAGCAAAAACCCTTCCAGAACTACTAGAGAGTGCTGAAAATTTGCACTGAGTTTCCCAATAGCCAATGAAACAGGAAAATGGGAACACTTACATGAATTACATAGTTTTAAAGATATAAACATTCTGTTGCACAGACGAAAGCTTTTTCTAACACTGAGGCAGGCCTATGAGAAATATTTCTCATCGGTCTTTAGGAAGAAGAGATAATAGAGAACAGCACATTATCAAAATATGATAGCAAGTAATTTCCAACATTTCCTTATAGTAACCCTTAAGGAAGCCTAGTATGTCATGCTAATACTTCAATCAGCAAAAGCACTTTATTCTAAGATAAAATATTTGTATTATTTAATAGATATCAGATAAAAGTCAGCATACTGTACCTACTTTTTTACATCTTTTTAAATAAAACTTTATCATTGATTTAGATATATAAGAATATACTTCTAACACAGTCATTAAGCACATTTTCCTTACTAAAACCAAACAAGGTATCCACTATTTTTCTCACCTGCAATTCTTTCACATTTTCAACAGTAAAGTTGAACCAGACTCGGAAGCGTGGATTACAGGTATCTGGCCTAATGAACAGATCATACTCAAACTCAGAGACTTGGTCCACTCGGCCAAGGTTACCTGGTAAGAAAAGTAAGAGAACTGTATTTTAATAATATTTGTGCAGATCAGTGATACATACATTTAAATATTATGAGTGCTAATGGTAACAATTGTCATCATTCAGTACTGGTATGTTCAGCATTCACAATCTGTAAGGCTGACAATTTGGAATGCATCCCAGAGTAAGGAAGATATTCAGCTAATCCATGCTGTGGTGAAAGTAGCACATAAGCCTGACAAGACCTTAAGATCCAGGTGCTTAGATCTCCAACTGTCTTTGACAGATTGAGATGGTCTTGAGTTGTCAGAAAAGCCATGACATATTTTTCTATGTTTTTCAATGCAAAAAATGCATCATGACTTCCCTGACAACCCAATATATGGAGCCTATGACATGCATCTGTGAACTAAGAGAAAAATCACAAACATCAGTTTCCTAGTTCCAGAAATGAGGACAATAATACTTTATGTATTTATGTTAAGCTTTATGGTATACAAACTACCTCTAACATATTGGATGCTGTTTAATTCTCAGAACAAGAATACATAACTTGGACTGTGTTTGATATTTTCTAAACTTCTATTAGAACATGTTGAAGAATACATATAGTTTTTCTTAATAATTATTTATTTAATTTTATTTATTATTCTTATTTTTAATTTGCTATAGAGCATATGTGCTAAGCAGAGAGGCAGAGAGAGAGAGAGGAAGAGAGGAAAAGCAAGAAAGTAAACAGCCAGGTCTGGTACTCAAATCACACTCAGCCATGTGAGAGTCTAGCACCTTAACCACCACACCACCTGCTGACCTCATGAAAATATATAGTTTTTAAATAAAAATTAGAAGTAGTTGCTATGTAAGAATAAAAATGGTACATTCACAACTAAAAAACTTAATTTCCATTTTCTCCACCAAAAGAACAATTGTATTTTTTTTAAATGTATAATCTTAGGTGTTACCACCAGTTTTTTTCTTTCATCTCTCTGATATCCTAGTGAACAGTTAATTAACCAAAATGTTAACAGCAAAATGAAATAAAAATAAAAGTAAGGACTCATGTAAATTCCTGAACCAGATAATCAATAGCTAAGAGTGTCAAGATGACTATAGATAGCAACAAAGCAATTGAGAACTTGGTATTGTATTGCTTTTGAAGAGTACAGCAATATCCTGCTTTCAAATGAGCTCTAGTGTGTCTGCCTCCAAGAGAATACTCCTATATTAAATTTTAAACTTATATGTACGAAGTTTTAAATTATTTCTTTTCCTAGTCCTATAGTCATGTCACTCACTTTTCTGAGCGGCAACCATGCTGTATGTAATAGATGGGTTGGTAGCCCAGAAATCAACAGACATGTATTCTAGTTCAATTGACTCTGTATAACAATAGTAGGTTATTTATTCTCTCAAGGTCTCATCTGAAAAATGAAAATATTTGGTTATATAACATCTAAGGTTCTTTCAGCTATAACATTATTTGGCGGCCGGACTCTAGGACTGATGAGGCAGTGATCCAAAATAAGACAATCACTCTCCCTACCCCAGCCTTTTCAATTATCATCAAGTTGCTTTCATGTGTTCTCATTAAAATTTGTCCTGGGATAAGCAGGTGGCATAATGGTTAAGGAGCTAGACTCCCACATGACCAATTATGGTTCAAGTCCCAGAGACATTGACTTAAGACAATCTGGCATGTGTGCATATGTGCCCCAAATCCTAGGAGAATGGAGGAAAAGGGATAGTGAGGTGGCCTTCACCCCTATGGGGGTGATTTCTCACTTTCCCTCTCACTGTCTCTCTCAGGTGAGCACACGAACCCTACAGCAAAAACCTTTAAAAAATTTTTAAAAAAACTTTTGTCCTGAAAAGCCAGACTATTCTTCATTCCAGAGCCAGAACAGTTACCTCCTGTTAAGTATACACACATTGAAACACTTGCATTGGTATAAAAGTAAAAACACAAACAAATTAGGACCAAAGACTTTCATCTTAATTTTTCTAGTTTCAATTGTATTCATAACTCCAAAAAAAATTCCTCAATTAAATTTGCTCTTTCAACTACTATATCAAAAATATATATATTGAGCCATACATTACAGAGAGCAGCATAGTTATTACAAAATGGTACTAAACTTGGAATAGTTTTGATTCTGCCACTTACTAAGCAACCCCAGACAATTTCCTAACCTTTTCTAACCTGTTTTCTCAACTCTAAAGTAAGAATCATATTAATTGAAAGATGAACATGTATTCCTATGTTAATTAACATGAACATTAATTTTAATAGAAAATCAGTATTTTCTGAGCATGCCTACCTGAAACATACTATCCTAAGTATACTAACCTATTTAATCCTTCTAATAGCCCCTTTGAAGTAGGTACCACTAATATCGCCTCTTTACATAAAAGAAAAATCAAGGCACAGAGATATAAAATAATTTATCGAAAGATATATAGCAAGGAAACAAGTAAAAATCACTGTTGGTATTTGTAATCAAGCAACATGGCTTTAACCATTAAACAACACAGCTCTCTATATACCAAAGCTGATACATATAATAAAAAGATACTACAAAGTGAAAGTACATTTTAAGGTATAATGCTTAATAAAACTACTATCCTTGAGCCAACAAATGGTGTAGAGATTAAGGCAGTTTAATGACTGACTGTGTGGCTGGAATCCCAGCCCAAGCAGCTTAAAAAAATATGCTAGGCATACGTACATGCATGCCTAAAATCCAGAGAGGAGAACAGAGGGGAGGACTTGTGGTGTGGCCACCCCCACCCCAGGGGGTGGGTCATTTCTCATTCTCTCTCTCTTTCTCACTCTCTCTGTCTTAGTCTCTCCAGCAAGCATACACAATTTATAGCAAAAACTAAAAACAAAAACAAAACACTATGCTTAGAACAACAAAGTTAAAAAGGCAGTATCTTTGCCTCCAAAAGTTCATGATCTAAAAATTAAATATGGAGCCAACAGGTGGTGTTGTGGTTAAGATGCTGGATCTCACATGGCTGACTGCAGGGTTAGAGTCCCAGATCCTGTGACTTGAAAAACATGCCAGGCACGTGTACATGAATACCCAAAAATGTAGAGGAGGATGAAGAAGGGATTGAGGTATGGCCATCTTCCCTGGGGAGTGCTTTCTCACTTTCCCTCTTACTCTGTCCCTCTCCAGCAAGAGCACACACCTTACAGTACAATCAATCAATCAATCAATCAATAAATAAATAAATAAAATGAAAAGTAAATGTTATCATGTCCTTCAACATTAAAGTGAAAGTAGATTTCTCCTTTGTTTTTAACCACTAAAAGTTTAAATGGGTTTTCCTAAATAATAGCATGTCTTACAAATTGCTGCTCTATATAGTATCTAATAATAATGCATCATTTGTGTCTAGAAATTTTTATCTCAAAATGATTTGACACCTTTTATATTGTGAAATCCTTATTATGACTTAATGATGAGTAAACTGAAATCCAGACATATTTAGTACTTTCTTAAGATCATGCATTAAACCACAGGATAGGACCTTATAAAACTCCTCACTCCATTGTATTATTCTTGTGAATATACCATAACTACAGTCTTATTCAGGCCTTTAATCAGTTACTCATTCAAATAGTACTATGCTATGTGTTATAAAATAGGTCATATATTAAATCAAATATTGTCTTCATGCCCACTAAGCTTATATTCTGTAAGATTAATAAATATCTGATCTTTAGTCTTCTGTAGTTATTATGTTGACCTTCCTCACCATTCCTGTGAGGCATGTTATCTATACGTGAGTGTACACAAACAATAATTTCCCCACATCACCTAAACTATTTCAACTGTCAGTTTGTGACTTTTAGAAAACAGCTGCTTGAAAAATGCCCTAGCAAAATGCCTCTATACAATCCAGTTTCCTTCCATTTGAATAAAAGTCAGATAGAGAAAATGAACAAGAATATAAAATGTGTAATAAAAATACAAAACAAATTTTAAGATGTGAATTGTAAACCAAAATACATTACCAAATATGTTAAATACAAATGTTTTATTATAATTGAGGCAAACTGGATAAATACGTAGCACATTATACCAACTAAAGTAAGTCAGACACAGAAAATACCATAAGACCTCACTTATATTTGGAATCGCATTTGAAAAATTCAAATACATTGAAACAAGAGATGAACAGTGATTACTACAGATTGAGGTGAGGGAGAAAAATTGGAGATGTAAGTCAAAGGGTACAAAGCTGCAGTTATAAAGAATAAATAATTCTGAAATACAGTGGACAGCATCAGGATTATAGTTAATAATCTTATATACTGGAGACTTGATAAGAGTACATTTTAGGCACTCTTACCATACATATCTACACCCAAATAAAATGGTAATTATGTGAAAGGATAATGGATACCTATTTGATTGGGTTTTATATCCCTTTCGTTATTATTTTTTTTTAAGAGAGACTTTTGCTATTGGGTGTATGTGCTTGCTGGAAAAACAGAGACAGACAGAGAGACAGAATGCAAGAAATTACCCCCCAGAGGGGATAGTCACACCACAATCCCTTCTTCTTCATTCTCTTCTCAGGATCTTGGGCACACACGTACACATGCTCAGCATGAGTTTAAGCCACCAGGACTCAAACCAAAGTCGACTACATGGGAATCCAGTAACATAACCATTATGATGGTCATGATCCAACAATCTCACTCTGTGTATATATTGTACCCAAAGAAAATGAAATCAGTATGTCAAAGTGTTATATTCTACCTCTAATGTTCTTTGCAGCATTATTCATAATAGCCAAGACATGGAAGCAAACTACATGTCCATTGAATAGATAAAGAAAATGTGGAATATACATACAATGAAATGAAAGCATATAATGTTTTTCTGATTTTGAATTCAGAATTATCTGAATTCTCTTGCATCTTGTTGAAACACTATGGGACCTATGAAACACAATTAAGCAAAGCGATATTGGCATTATGGAAGTTCCAGAAGAAAAGATGGGA